TGTATGCTCTAATACATATGTAAAGACACACACACACACACACACACACACACACACACACACACACACACGCACACACCACCCACACACACGCTCTGTTTATTAGTCCGCATGTTCCCTCTCAGGATGAATATGCATCATGTTTACTCAACAGTTTCCTGGTTCACATGTTCTGTGATTCGTCGAGGGCTGAAATGAAAACACAGCTTAATATCAGGGTTCCTCTTCATGGATTCCTCTGCAGACTGCTCCACAGATTAGGGTTTAGTCAAGAGGCAGAAATACTGAAACAAGTCTTTAAATGTCTTGTTTTTTTATTAAAAAGAGAAAAGCAGAACATCTCCACGTTTGAGAAAACTGCTTTTTCTGACGTGCTTTCATGCAAAACGATGAATGAATGATATTTATATATTGTTCTACCCCACTAGTTGTTTCCCCTGTGATCAGCTGTTATGAGTACGCGTCTTACTGTGTCCTGTTTAGTTACTCAGCATAGACGCTCTGTTATTAATGAAGGGTTACAATAAAAACACAAAATAATATTAGAGCTGCAATTTATGGTTATTTCATTTTACTTTCTAGCGTTTGGTCAATTAAGAGTCAAAGTCCACTGGATGTCTTTAAATGTCTTGTTTTGTTAAAAATCCATAAATACTCACTTTAATGTGAGATGAATCAGAAAAGCAGCAAATCTCCTCGTCTGAGATATTTGGATGCAAAATGTCTGAAAGGACGACTAAAGCATGCAGATGGGTGTGACCTCCCTCCACGTGTTCTGTATGAGACGCTCTCTGTGTGTGCAGGAGCTGGAGGACGTGTTCTCTGCGTGGCCCCGGCTGCTCCACGCGGACCTGAGAGGGAACCCGGTTTGCAAGAAACAGAAATACAGAGACCGTCTGATCACAGCGGGGAAGAGCCTGCGTGAGCAACACAGCATTTCGTCATCTATTAATATACATGCAATACACAGAGAGTACGTGATGCACTGTGTGTGTTCGCAGAGGCTTTAGACGGGAGGGAAATCAGCCATCTGACCAGACAGTTCCTGACCAACTGGAAGGCATCCAGAGAGGCCAAGAAGAAGAAACACGTGATGAGCGGAGAGCTGATCCCCTTAACCAGTGAGTCTTTCTCCACTCAGTGGGTTCTGTTCCCAACACGTCTCATTTCCCTTCTGTCCGGGTTCAAGTGTTTGTCTGCCTTTACCTCCCTGCTTCTGGAATGAAGCAGTGCAACACATGTGGGCCGAATAAACGGTTTCTTTTGTAATTATAATGTGCAACGATCACTTTTTGGTGCAAAACATATATGTCTGTAATGTCTCAACATCGCTGATCCCCTTAAGCAGTGAGTCTCAAAGACATTCACAAAAACAACACACTTCAAATATATCAAACGTTAACTACAGATGAAAAGCAGTTCTGACGACAGGGATTTCAGGGTGCTGTCTTTGATCCAACTGCATGTTTCTGGAATGAAAACACTTTGTTTTGTAATTATATAATGTGCAGTAATCCCTTTTTAGTGCACAAAACCATTTTAACACCTAAATGTGATACTGATCACTTTACATTGCTGCTTCTCATTTGAAGCAATGGTTGTGTTCTTATTTAGATTCTATACTGCGTGTTTTTCTCTTTACTAAGTTAGAGGAATACGCTGTTCCCTTGTAAGGAAAGTGTTAAGTCCTTCGTTTCTCCGTAGCCGAACACATTTTGATTCTTAATTCTTAACGTCTTCATGCCCGGTTCGATTCTGCACATTTCAATCTGTGTGTTTTTCCACTGTGTCTTCCTCCAGACGACTTCAACGTGGGTCAGGGTCCTCACCCGGGGCAGACCTCCTTCAGACCGGAGACCCTGCAGCGCTGGAAGCCCCAGCAGCCGTCCCTCAGGTGTGTGTGTGTGTGTGTGTGTGTGTGTGTGTGTGTGTGTGTGTGTTGTGTGTGTGTGTGCATTTTCACCATCCAGGAATAATAGGGGAGCAGAGCAGAGCAATGCTACATTAGC